GTGGTATGAAACCAGTAAATTCCCAGTGGCTTTGTGAGTTGGCGATATCCAGCAATGCCTGTCTGTTGTATGTAAGCAGTGCATGACATTTGTGCACTGCAGAAAAAGCAAAAAACACACAAAAAAGAAGAAAACAAAGAAAAAGCCGGTATTCAAGAGTGGAACGTGCAAACACGTTCGCCTTGGTGGGCGTCATGTTTTCAATGGAAGAAGTTTGGAATCAAGACTCTTCCTAGAGTCCACCATCTGGGCAAGTTAGGCCTTGGTCAGGGAGGTGACCGAGAACCCAGTAGTGAACTCAGAGATGGGAGTATCTGCTGGAAGGATGACCATATCGGCAGCTCTCCATCAATCGTGCCTTTATGGTAGAGTGGCTAGATGGAAGCCACTTTGAGTCAAAGGCAGATGACATCCCACTTGGAGTTTGTCAAGCAAACAATCAATCGGTTTATTTAAAGTGCATTATCATCCAATGTCTCAATACACTTTACATACAATACATATAAATAGAATAATAACAGTACTGGTGATAAAAACAGCAGTACTGGTGAGAAGCAAGGGAAGGATGAATGCAGACAAATACAGAGGTCCTTGAAGAAAACCTGCTCTAGAGTGCAGTGACTTGAGATGGTGATTTTTCACCTTTCACCACAACATTGACCTGAAGCACACAGCCAAGATGGAACAGAAGCATCTTAAGGACAATTCTGTGATTGTTTTTGAGTGGCAAAGCCAAAGCCAAAGCCCAAGCTGAAGCCTCATCTGTAAAAAGATCTAAAGATGGCCGAACACAGATGCTTCCCATCCAATCTGCTGGAGCTTGAGAGGATCTGCCAAGAAGAACAGGATAAACTGCCCAAATTCAGGTGTGTGAAGCTTGTAGAGACCTACTGTACACAACAAGACTTGCAGCGGTAACTGCAGCCAGAGAAGATCCTACAAACTTGCATGTCTGAATGCTTGAATTTTAAACGTTTGATCTGTTTTAATAATTTTATCTAAGTTGAAATCCACAACACAATAAAGTGGGGCAAAAATAAAGGCCAGTATATGAAATTGTTAGTTTTTAGCCATCAGAAGTCCATTTTTTTCTTCTCTTCTGCTTCTTCCCCGTAATTGGTCCAGCCAACTCACATCATTTGGCCATCAGCTACAAAGCTAGTTATCAGGAGGAAATTACATCTGAATTATATTACTTTTTTCCTCATTATTAATTGTCATTAGACGGAGGTCTGTGTGGCATATTAACTCACTGACAGACATCCTGCCGTACATTAAGGTTTTTGCTTTCAAGAAATCATTTCCTTTGCAATATGGTGCTGTGAGAGACTAACTGACCATACATACACACACACACACACACACACACACACACACACAAAGACAGCACATTAGTTTTATTTAAATCCCATTCATTATCATTAAACATACAGTTACACTTTACTCTCTGCCACATTTACAGTCAGGGAAAAAATTATTTGAACCCCAGCTGATTTTGTAAGTTTGCCCACTAACAAAGAAATGATCAGTCTACAATTTCAATGGTAGGTTTATTTGAACAGTGAGAGACACAACAATAACAAAAAAAAAAATCCAGAAAAAAAGAACAGCGTACTTTGATTAAAAAGTTGATTGGAGAGGGGAAAACCTATAAAGAGGTGCAAAAAATTATAAGCTGTTCAGCTAAAATGATCTCCAGTGCCTTAAAATGGAGAGCAAAACCAGAGAGACGTGGAAGAAAACGGAAGACAACCATCAAAATGGATCGAAGAATAACCAGAATGGCAAAGGCCCAGCCAATGATCAGCTCCAGGATGATCAAAGACAGTCTGGAGTTACCTGTAAGTACTGTGACAGTTAGAAGCCGTCTGTGTGAAGCTAATCTATTTTCAAGAATCCCCCGCAAAGTCCCTCTGTTAAAAAAATGGCACGTGCAGAAGAGGTTACAATTTGCCAAAGAACACATCAACTGGCCTAAAGAGAAATGGAGGAACATTTTGTGGACTGATGAGAGTAAAATTGTTCTTTTTGGGTCCAAGGGCCACATGGGTCATGTTGTGAAAGTGTTGTGGTCAGATGAGACCAAAATCGAGCTCTTTGGCATTAACTCAACACGCCGTGTTTGTCCCCACCGTCAAATATGGAGGTGGAAACATTATGCTTTGGGGGTGTTTTTCTGCCAAGGGGACAGGACAATTGCACCGCATCAAAGGGAGGATGGATGGGGCCATGTACCGTCAAATCTTGGGTGAGAACCTCCTTCCCTCAGTCAGGGCATTGAAAATGGGTCGTGGTTGGGTATTCCAGCATGACAATGATCCAAAACACACGGCCAAGGCAACAAAGGATTGGCTCAAGAAGAAGCATATTAAGGTCATGGAGTGGCCTAGTCAGTCTCCAGACCTTAATCCCATAGAAAATCTGTGGAGGGAGCTGAAGGTTCGAGTTGCCAAACATCTGCCACAAAACATTAATGACTTGGAGAGGATCTGCAAAGAGGAATGGGTCAAAATCCCCCCTGAGATGTGTGCAAACCTTGTGGCCATCTACAAGAAACGTCTGACCTCTGTGATTGCCAACAAAGGTTTTGCCACCAAGTACTAAAGCACGTTTTGCAAAGGGATCAAATACTTATTTCATTCATGAAAATGCAAATTAATGTAACTTTTTTTGTAATGCATTTTTCTGGATTTTTTTGTTATTTTTGTGTCTCTCACTGGTCACATAAACCTACCATTGAAATTGTAGATTGATCATTTCTTTGTTAGTGGGCAAACTTACAAAATCAGCTGACTGTACTTGTTCTTGCATGCTCTGTTAGTCTTTAAAAATTGGACCACTGGCAGTGTCTCAAAAATCATTAAATTATAGGAGGTTTAGGAGGAACATGAACACACAAAGCAGCCAGGAAAGAAAACATTGATGCACGACTGCCCACAAATATAAATGCAAGTAAAGAGACATTGTGAGATTCAGAAGCCATGTTCCTTAACCTAACACCTTGAATTATAAAGAGATTTCAGGCTACTCCCTGAAGTGTTTTGTATTGTGAGTCAATCATTCAGGCTATTGATGTGCCCTTGAAAGGATAGTTTGACATTCTGGGCAAAATGCTTATTTTCTTGTTGAGAGTTATGAGATCTACACAACCTTCATGCATAGTATCTGCATACACACCTCTAAAGCTCACTAACATGTTACCCACATGGGAATCAATCCTCTCATCTAACTCACCAACTATAAATCAGTGATTTGAAGAAGTCAGCAGAACAAGAGACAAAACGGAAATACAGAACTTTTTAATGTAAAATAACCCAAACTGTTTCAGCTGTAGTGTGTTAGTGTAGAATGGTGTTACACATATAAGAAACTGAATGTGAAAATAAGTTTCCAGGACATTTCAACTTAAAAAGGTTTTATTTTACTAGCTGAACTGTGGCCAGTACTTCATAGTAGTATGGATGAATTTCCTCTGGCTGTTGATGTGCCTGTGCAATGAGGCAGCTGATTTTGCAAGCTGATATCTCAAACATAATGAATATGTTTACAGGTTTACAATATGTTTTAACCAGGGATGTCCTGCAGGGTAAAAACGTTTTAATCTCCATTTACAGAGGTTTTTCATTTGCAGGCTAGAATTTACAGACATTTTTTGGCTGAATGAAATTGTACCTGCAATAAGAAGTACTGTAGATCTGTTGCATTAAATAATATTAAAGCATAAGGCTGGTCATTTTCTTTTTTTAATCAGTATTTTCAACACTCTGCCTACAGAGACTAAGACCAACAATTATTTGTTTTACTACTCACTTTTAATGTCTGTCAGTCCTGTTATTCATGGGGGTATAGCTCAGTGGTAGAGCATTTGACTGCAGATCAAGAGGTCCCCAGTTCAACTCCCGGTGCCCTCTGTTGATATAACTATGCACCCAATGTCTGAAGCCTTTGGGAGGCAACAGTGGCGTACCTGACAAGCACGAGTCTGTATAAATTCAACCAACCACATATCCAGGTCCATCTTTCAAAGGCCAATCACATGCCAGAGTCCATCTTTCTGTTGCCAATCAAACTGCTAAATCCATCTTTCTACTACCAATCATGAAACGCTGTCCATTTTTCACCTTAGCAACGGTCCACCTGTTTTGTTTTTTTCGTCGCTATGGGAAACTTAAAGTTGCTGAACCACAAGAACCGTAAGTAACAATTATCCTTCTGTCTCCAAACTTTGTTTAATGTTTGATATCACTGAGAAAGTGGCTCTTTACATGAACGTGAAGTTAACGCTAACATGAAGCTACTACTGTGTTAGTGTGTTCGAGTGAACAGCCGCTTTATTAATACATAACCTTATTATTAAGTCAGTGTTTATTTGTTATATGCACAGTTCGGAAACTATTGTTGCTATATTACTACTTGGTTTTCAAAAATCTAAGTTATAAAACAGTTTAAAATGTTTTACTTATAATTATGATATCAGAAGGCACACAACACGTTTTGCTCATTTGTTAACGCCATTGTACTGTATGTTTATGTTTGCTGTTGTTTTAATGTCACTTAGTACACTTGATGTCAATGGCTTGGCACAGTCTTGTTATTTCAGATGGCATCTCAAAAGTCACATAAGGCCATGGCAGACACAGAGTGGTTCTTACGTCTGCGAACATTTGTCTACACTGGTGTTTGGCCATCCAGAGAGGTAAACAGGCAAAAGAAATGGAATGACCTCTATCTTAAGGTAATGTTAGAGCTTATGACTCTTGAAACCTACTAAAAGACACCTGCATGATACAGAACAGCTAACTGTTTATAATAATGTACATTTGACTAGTTTAGCACAGAATATGGCTGGTACTGAATCTGTCACATTGCTTTTATAACATTGTTCAGTTAATGTTTCTCAGTTCTGTAAAACAACTTTTTATTATTATGCCTGCAGATACAAAAATACACTCTGCATTGGAGAGGACAAATGATCTATACAAAGGAAACAGCTGCACTTGTGGCTTTCACAATGCCAAGGTAACTTCACTTACAGTAAATGGTCAAGCTGCACTTTTAGATTAATGTGTTTTCTATTCTGATAAATAAGAAAATATGTAAATATTTCTTTTATATTTTCAGGCATCCTTCTTTCAATAAGGCAAGTATAGATATGTTATGTTAATCCCTCAACAGTAGGAACCTCAGAAAAGGAAGCGCTGGTTTCCCCTTTCAAAACCCTTTTTTAACCTTTGACAAGAGTCAGCAACATTTTTATATAGGCATTTCCTAATGCTCACAATGTTATGCCCTATTTGAATATACAGTATACTATAAATCCCAAAGTCATGCATTGTGCACCCACATACTGTGTGTGCTTTCATGCATTTGGCTGTACGAAGTGTGGAAAGACTTACCCAAAAAAAAAAAGAAAACAAATTACACTCTTTGTGTATACAAAGTTGCTAACTTTAGAAAATGTGGCACTTCAGTCCAGTCCTGTTCAGCCTTGTGTAAACAGTAGACAGGACCTTAAGAATGGAAACAGTAAAAAACAGAAGACTAGGGGACAACCCCCAGGAGTACCAGATATTTAGAGTTTTATATCCTGATGATAGTGATTTTGAAGGGTGAACGGGTGTGCCTTCATTTAGGATAGATTGCATTTGATTAACTATTGGGTCCAGTGTGGCTTGGTCACGTTTCATCACCAAGTGGGGCCGACAACACTGTACGTAAGCAGAAGAAATGGTATGGTTTTTATTCATTCATTCATTCATTTTCTACCGCTTAATCCCTGAGCGGGGTCACGGGTGGGGCCGGAGCCAATCCCAGCCGGCAATCGGGCGA